TGATCAGAAAATTTTGTTCTTTAGCTCAGCTGCAGTCGACTGTCAGTCTGACCGCGACGCCGGCAGCAGCAGCGCTAGCAGAGGCAGCAACGACAGCGGCACCCTTCTCCTTTCTTTCACTTTCAAACTATTCAACTCACACACACACTCTCCCACAGTCAGATGTGAGCGCAGGCAGCGAGAAAGAGAGGCGAGCAAAAAGCTTTGGCTTGGCATTTCAACTGTGCTCTTGTGTATGCGTGTGTGCGTGAGGCCTGCCTCCTGTTACGCTGTCTGCCTGCTGTTGCCTGCTGCTGCCGCTACTGTGAGTGCGCCTGTATTAGTGGACTAGCAATTGACGTAGGACGTGACGTATGCCAAAATGAAAAAACAAAATAAAGCTTTGCGTTTTATTCATAAAATGCGAGCGCAAAAGAGAAGTGAAATGGCTAGAAAGCTTCAGCTGGCAGCAAGTGTAAGCAGTGTGGCCAATCGCACTACCTTGTTGTGCAGTGTAAGTGTATGCGAAAAAGGAAAGTGTTTGCAACAATGCAACTGTGTATGAGTGGGTGCGGATATGTGGCGAAGGCGGCAGAGACTGAGATAGAGAGAGAGAGAGAGAGAGACAAATGAGTCGCCTTGCAACTAAATGCACACACGCATACCAAGAGAACATTATGTACAGTTAGCGGCGCGACTGCAGCGCCGGATTATATGGCTAGCCTATATGGGGGCGTGCTGCTGGCGCTGCTTGTGCTGACTGAGCAGAGTTAACGATGCCTGCCTCACATGACACACACACAGCCTTTCCCCACGCACACACACACACCCATTCATTGCTTAATTATTGAGGAACACTAATACACATGCAACAGTGTATTTAATTTATAACGACACTCAAGTAGCAGTTATAAGCGGCGGGCTGGGCCCGTGACGAGCCTGACGAAAGTAATCAAAGTTAATCGAAATTTATTGTTCCCAGGGCGTAACTAAAGCCCATACGAGTACATTTACTTATATTTGCTTTGCCTTTTTTTTCTTCTTTTTTTTTTAGCTTAGTGTCAGTATTTGCACTACTCAAAAAAACAGCTGAGTTGCGACCGAAAAGAAAAAAGTTGGCAAATACACATACACATATACACATACGAGTGTGTGCAAGTGGGAACGGCATGCGGGAGCAGGGGGAACAGTTTCAAGAACTGTGAACACTTCGTACTGTGTGCAGAGGCAGACGTGCCAGCTAACCCGCATTCTACATTTATAATAGAACTATGAACATATCAAAAAAGATTTTTGGCACTATCATAGAGAAAATATAATGAATTATATAGAATAGAAAGTTTATA